AGAAAACATCTTCTTTTACTAAAAGAAGGATTACTTAGGCTCTTGGTGCACAGTGTCCTGTACAGGCCCTGTACACCCAAAAGTGTTCTTGTAGGCTGTCACTAATTCTGCCTCTGAAGCCAAGATGCCATATTGATCTTATATAGGTTACCCTTGCGTTATCACCACAATTCAAACTAGAATTTTGGTTGCCAAGCAAGGCATCTGTTAAGTGAGACACACCCAATTTTACAACCATTCTGATCACATGATTGTGGGGATGCTATGACGGTTTTAAGTATGGGGAACAGTTGTAAGTCCTTTTTGGAGTGCCATTGTAACTTTGAACAGTCGCTAAACAAATGGTTGTAAGTCAAGGACTACCTGTAGAACAGGCAGGTTCACAAGCAAAAAGACAGTTTTCAAGTTGCTGGGGCCTAAGCTGTTTGGGGCATCACCTTGCATTACACTAAGAAACAAAATGGCAGCCAGTGCAGCTGATGCAGTAAAAACATTACGAGACCTTAGAATTTTCCCCACCTTTAATTCTAGCAATAGCATTCTTCACTAATTTAAGTTTCCAAATACCTTTCAGAAGAACCTCAGGTTCAGCACACACATGGTTATTGCACCAGTCAAAGCTGAACAAAAGCTTTCCTGATTGCAATTTATGCTTGAGCATGTAATAATAGTTTGTTTGTTTGTTTGTTTGTTTGTTTGTTTCCATGGCTGCATATTTTCCTATCTTAGGATACGATATAAAACTACACTGTTGCAAGTTACCCACTGGCCAGCAACAGAGTTCCTAATTCATGAATATGATTCATTCAACCAGCAGTAAGAGCCCTTCACCATCTTCCCCCAAACCCCATTATAGTCCAGTTTTGTTGATTTCGCCTGAGTTCTTTCAGAAGCACCAGCAAAACTGGGTCCATGTCACAGGGGAAGGACATGTAAAGGGCAAAGCAGGAGCTACCCAATGTATGTCCTGATTACTAGAACTGGACTAGCCTGTTTTTGGCAGAATCATTTTACTCTGCAAACGTATTTCTTATTTGAAAAGTGCATGACAATAAAATGGACTTCTCTAGGGAGAAAAATCTGGAAGGTATTAAGTTCCCCTGTCTTCTTTTATGGAAGGATGAGTGACTTTAAAGAATCCTAAACAGCATCATGCAATACAGCCAGATAATGCCCCTTTCTCAATGTCATCTGAAGCAGTATTCAAACTTTCAGCTGAATTCAGTTGTTCAGTCCAATATTCTGAAGACACAAAGTTGAAATTATTGTTCCCTCCAAACTATGGTCTCCTGTATAACACAACAACTTTCTATTGGCTTTACCAGTTCATGTGAAGCAACAATCACAATTTTATGGATCTACTGGAAGTGTCTGTATTCTACGGCTAAAAAAATTAAAACCTGATTAGGGGCAAAACAATCACAGAAGACATATCAATAAAAGTTTCTATAATAATTCCCTCTGCTCTGAGGATTAACTTGAAAATATTGAACAAAACTGAGGCTGGTCTCATCCATTAACTGAAAGTCTTTCCTTCAAAATCCTGTGTAGACAAAACTTTTGTGTAGACAAAAATTTCTGTGCATGGCAATAATCTCTTTAGACATTCACCAGAAATCATGAGGTTTTAAAATATATAGAAATGGCCTACATACATTGACTCTGCTCCATGTCCTCTTGAAAGAGTACTTTATCTCTGGAACTTGATCATGGATCCTGAGGAGAATTCTACTTGCTTGCAAATAAATATGACCAAGATCTGTGACTGGAGGGATAAACCTTCTATTGCTGTATAGAGCTTAGCCATAACAGTTTAGGCTAATGCCTGAACAGAGAGAGAATATTTTAATGTATATTCAGCACACCCCATGTGGCACATCTGCTGCCTGATCCCATTGTTGAAGAAAGATTCAAGTCCCCCCACAGAGTATTTCTGTACATGCAAAGGGAAAGTCTGGCATCTTCTCAATCATCTCAGCTAGCAAAACAACATCTAAGACCAGTTTTGCATATTTTGCATACAGAGATCATTGACTGAATCACCCCTTTTTTTCCCAAACAGATCCCAAGTATCAGATCAAAAATCTTAAAAGTCAATGCTTTCTTACTGGAAAAACTATTATTTAAATATTATGATCATTATTAGTGGAAATATCTATTTGCCCAGTGCCTAATTACACACTCTCTCTCTCTCTCTCTCTCTCTCTTATGTGTGTGTAGCTGTTTTCAACTTATATGATTCATATATGTCATCATTATACAGTAATTAATTCATACACTATTATTGTCTAATATTTAGTAATACTTTCCTTAAAACAGTTCCTTTATATTAAATTGGAATAATGAATAAACCATTTGAAAATGCACCTTTATATTAGAAATCTCCATCTATTATAACAGTATCCTGTTTTATAAAATTACCATAAATATGACAGTTATATACTGATTCCAAACGAAGGCTAGTATCCTGCATAGTTTGCTGGGCAGTAGTTTTAACAGCAGATTAAAAATAACTGCAGTACTAATTTTTAACCAGGTACTTAATGAAGAATTTCTTTTCTGTATTCTTTATGCAAGAATGTTTTTACTTGATTTAAAGAATAGCAATATTTTAAATGTTTCATCTGATTCTTCTCTACATTCTGATTAATGCCATTCGATCATAAGTAAGCACAAGCAACACAGCTGCTTCGTCAGCTTCTCTTCAAAAATATAGTCTTAATCACATATCAACTGAATGACTATTTTAATTTTATTAATACTTGCAGTAGGCATTCCAAATTTTATATCTTTCAAAGGTCAGTATACCTCTTCAATTACCCTAAAGTACTATCATTCCCTGTTTTCTTCCCCCCTAGCACTGAACAACGATATCCTATCATTAAAATGTTACTGTGATGTTATCAGTCATTAAAATTTCCTTTGTTTGAAAAGGATGATAAACTACAAATGCACATTCTAGTTTTTGAAGCTCTGCTTATGCCCAAGTATGTTTCAAGTATCCTCTTGATATTCCTGTAAATCCTTCTGAAAGATCTATGAAAATGTTTATTGCTCCATTCTCCATTCTTCTCTATACAGCACAAAACCAAGGAATCTTTGTTTGTTAGCCAAGCAAGTAATACTTGTCCAACTGAGGTTAAGAACATGAAGCAAAAGTCACCAATTAAAGTATTAAGACTAACAAAATATAATCTAATTGCTTGCGTTTCTTTGTACAACCAGAAATATTAACAAATGACACCTCATAACATGCTTCAAAATAAAACATGTATTTTAATGCAAAAATCTACTGCATATAAAGAGGGTTTCAACAGCAACTCCTCTGGCAGGATGAAGGTAAAATGGCCATCATTCTGTCTTCAGGTGATGGCATTCCATATCACACAATGTTTCGCACTCATAAATACATGACAAATACTTCCTCAATCATTTTTTACAAGCAGGGATGCACAGGGGGTTGTCAATGGCTAGCTTGAGGGAAAATAGGAACAGCAGGCGGCAGAAGCTGTACTGAAAATGGTTATGTGGTAAATTCTCTTCTGTAACATCACTCAACTATCCTACCCTTTGATCTTTCAGCTACAATTACACGAATATCCACAAAATCTGGATTAAAAGAACACTACAACCATCACTGGTACATGAACACAATACTATCTCTAATATTAGTTCATAATATAAATATAATATTTACACATTTTTAAAAACAGTTTATGTGGTATATTTTCTAGTCAGTTTTCACCACAGTCAGTTTCATATCTACACAAAGACATACAGTGTAAATGGTGTCAGAGAAATTACAGACTGGTGTCTCCTAAATATTAATGTCTAACTACTGATCTTTATTGTACAATAATATCCACTGGAGATTTCCTGAATATAGAAGTGCTGATCCATTCAGCCTTACCCATTTTCAAATAAATGTTGATATATATTGTCATTGCAGCCCTCAAAATTTTTCCAAAAGTCCTAAATTTCTATTTGTGTGAAACTGAAAAATGACTCTTGGAGCGCAGTGTTTTGCAGCTCAGCAACAAAATATTCAGAGTTTTCTGAAGATTGATTTAACTTTAAATAATCCATTAATAGAAAAACTTATTTGCATTCTGAATCATTCACTATAAAAGTTCACCTTTTTTTAGAATATAGGTGCATTATAACAATAGGAACAGAAGAGTTCTGAGCTGAAATAATTTCACAGAATGTATCTTATAACTTATTGGAGTTAACCATCTGACATTAATTATTGTTTTGGCTTCTAGCCTGTGAATGTTTATTTTTCAGTTTAAAGTCTTCTCGCTCTTTGATACCATATGGAAATGCGAATGTTTAATGGGAAATTGAAACCATGTGCATCTAAGTACTTAATGAAGTACAGGGAGAGTGTTTTAAAAGAATTCTGATACACTGTTCTGGATACTTTTACAAAACAAATACAACAACAGCTTAGTTTTTCTTATAACTTAGCGCACAATTGCATTTGTTAAAATAATTAAAAACAGTGCTTTAATTGATGTTTTATTTTAATGCAATAAATCAAGCATCTATTGCCCACAAAGTCTCATCTCAAACTTTTTTAGGACAAATTAAAGTACGCTGCTTTCAGATATGAGAATTCTAATATATGTTCTGGACTGGATCTTGATCCCAAACACTGTTGACAGATAGCCACTATCAGTATTATAAAAATTTGAATTGGACAATTACATGAAATATTTCAGTACTTAATAAGAATCAAGAAACAAAGCTGGATGTTGTAAAGTAACTAATAATTCTATAATCGATATGCATTAATAAAAAATGCCCAAAAAATGATATGAAGAAAATTGATTTAGTAAATGTCTAGTAAAGTTTTCATTTCCACTGTATTCTGTTAAGTATGGTATATTTTCAAAAAAAGCATTAAGTTATACAGTATGGAATAGAATACAATAATATCTATTTTAACCAATATTAAGGTCCTTTTGGAAATTATAATTAAACTTCAGAAAACTCACCATTTGTTTTTCTTTCTAATGTAATCTTTTTCGGAGAGGTTAATCAAATACATCATTGGTTTAGAAGTTAAAAACAAATGTTTGTTGAGCACATCAATCTAAAAGATAGCAAACAAAAATTATGTAAAACATGAGACTCTGTAGTGTCCCCCCATATACATATATATATGCAGGTGAAAAAAAAATAGTATACTTATGGTTTATAGATGAAGATGATATTAATTTACTAGAATTAGAAGATTTAAATAAAAATATGGTGCACATGATAGCTCTCCGTTTGGGTTTTAATGGGAAGATATGAGACTTGATAAAGTAACTTGCCTCTTTATCATTCCAATCATGATAGAAGCGGACTGGCTTTTTTTCATCTATTACCCAGCTTTTGATTTTGCACATTATGTCCTGGTGGAATTAAAAAGAAACAAAAGACATTTAAATAAGTTATATTCCGCTATTTGCAGGAATGTTATTTCTCACGAGAGAGGAATTTTTGTTAGCAAAATATAACAAATCTTCTGAAATTGTATATATATTTGAATGGCAGAGCACAGAATAGTACTAAGCATAGAGTAGATATGTATGGGAAAAACACAAATTATACTCTTCCCTCCCTAGTGGAATAAAAAAAAAATCTAAGTAAATTTAAAACTGCCTTTCAAAACTCCATATTGGCAAAATAATTAAGCATCCAAAGCACACATAGGAAAGATGCTACAACCCTGGTAGCAAAAGAAATTGATCTGATTATAAAGATCCACCCATCAAGGTATTTGTTCAAATGTCCAAAGGCAATCATCTTTATACATTAATTTTTTGCCCACACCTTCTCGCCTCCTCCAAAAAGCCAAACCCTGCCAAAACTTTCATTACACAATGGCAACAGCCTTGCACTGGTGACCTCCAACCACCTGCATTCACTTTCCGAGCATCTCTCCCTGCAGGAAATCTAAAGGCCTTTTAGTTAGCAAGCTAGTGTGCATACAGAAGGAGTAACTGCAGGAAGAGCCCAATGTGCTTTGTTTCTCTGGCCTTTCTTCACAGAAAGATTAATCATCTGTGAAATGGAAACGGCAAACAGCAAGTGACACAAACTGAACCCTTCAAGCCTCTCCTCATCGGTTTTGTGGGTCTGCATCTGAAAGCTGCGTGTGGCAAGGTTTGCCTTACAGGCAGGTGTTAATAAAAGCCTCTTAGGTGTGAAAGGTCAAACTAAGCTCTTCGAGAAGTAGCACGTGGGTTTTTTTTTGTCAAACGTAATTTATGGCCAGGTTCTAAATGCTACAGTTCAGGAAAATTAACTTGAATATGATATTCCATTAAAGAATTTAACACCAATTTCTCGTTGCCAAATTTTAAGGCACACATCAATAAATAGGTCACATACGTATAAATATATGCCCTGGGTATTTAGTATACTAGTATCCCCAATCATGCAATTGCTTCAGGTGGAAAAACAAGACGAAAGCTCTTCTAAATCTCAGTTCCTGATTTGTAACTCTCCAGGAACAGGACTTCCCACAGATTTTAACAAGAAAGGGGCAAGCTGAAAACTTTTAATGAAATATAACATGTTCTGCCTAAGAATAATCACTTTTACTCTCCTATAACTGATTTTCACTCATAAATGTTTTTAAAGTGGCTAATGTAACACCATTTCCTACAAGGAGAAGATCAAAGTGCTATATTACAAATGCATTATGATTAAAAAAGCACTGTGCAGCCTTGCTATTAAATGTTCTTTAAACCCTAAAAGGCTTCCCATAGATCTCACTTGGCACTGCATATACAACCTTTGACAAGTAATGTAGACCATTTTTATTCATTGCCTAAAATTGTAGGCAATTATGTGCGTCACACTGGCCACCTGCAAGTTCTGAATGCCTGCTCCAGTTGTCAGAGCTAAAAACTAATGTCGGAGGGGATTAATCTAAAGGGAGAGAGTCCTCTTTAATGGCTACAGCAGGTGAAATGGCCCAGCTGGTTACTATGATGAGTGGCCAGAACAGCTTATGTAGAGACATGCAACAAGATTACACATGTAAAAATAAAATAAAATAAGTAGCAAAACTTTGTTATCTTTGGCGCTTATTGATGTTTTATTTGATCAGTAAATAATTCACTTAAGTTTAAAATGTGCATTGTTTTACCCTTAGCCTTTTCTTCATTATTAGAATAATTCCTCCAGCAACCCTGCTTAACTAGTAGAGGAATTTTATACTGATTCAACTTTAAAATAGACACTTACATAAGCATAACAGCTGAGATTCTAAACTCAACAGGATAAACAGAAATCTCTCTTGCATGTACAATTTTTACTTGGATTTTTTTTCGGCACACACAAAAGGTCGTGAGAGTAACAATTCAGTCTTTCTTCCAAATTTGTTTAAGAAGAGCAACTGTGCTTTATACTTGGTCTCTAAACTTACACTGTAAGAAATTATCAGAACCATATTTAAGAGTACACATACATGTAACCTTACAATGATTGTGCATGCTATTTGAGTCTATGTTTCAAGCATGAAAGAGGTCAATTTCCTCATGTACATCCATTTATGCAATTTATTTCCAAACTACAGCAGTATCATCATCAACAATTATCACATGTGATACAACTCCACAATGCAGAAATGCAAGATTACCAAGATAATTTTTCATGAACAATCATTTATCAGAAAGAAACCAATTTGGCAGATGTGGGTGACCCAGGCCTTCCTATTACAATCCAAGATTATAACAGATGAACTTTAGGGTATTTAAAAATAATGTTACCAAGACATCCCTATGTTTTTATAGCATATGTACACTTCCAATGTAATGAAAATGAAAATTTTAACACTTTGAAAATTCTGTTTATGCATTCTAAGAACTGACATAAGCATGTGATGGGACAATAGCCCCATATCAGCTCATTTATCTCTTTTCCTTACTGAGACAGCTTATTTCTACTTAAGCAGCATGTTCATGAATGTAGACCTATAATATAATATCCTCATCCAGTAAAGTTGGGGAAGAGAAAAATTAAACATTATCAGATTTATACATTTATGTGAAATGTATCTAAATAACCCAGGGTTAAGCATACTGCTTGTATTTTAAGAACTGGTTTTGTATTTCTTCATGTTTTTTTTTAAAATTTACATCCCTTTTTTAAAAATCCATATGAACCTACTTAAAAATGCATCCATTTGAAAACAAAATCTACAAGTATGCCATATTAATTGCACCTGCTATGTAAACCTCTGATTCATTTCTTTTTCAAAAGTAATTGAACTGAAACAGCTGAGTGGGATGGAAGAGAAATGGATGTTGTGATTCAAATGTATTTTTTGTTTCAAGAAATTCAATTATATCTTATATATATATATATGTATATATATTGCACCTTCTCAATCTGGCCTATGATAGAGTCATCCATTGCACAATTAATTAAATTCATGAGACAACACAATTTTAAGACAGAAATATTCTAGTGTGCTGATTTTCCTATTATCAGTCTTTGTAGCATGCCAGCAACACCAAAGAAGAAGAGTCAAGATAGGAAGTATGAATGCTTCCATTCAGGTGTCATCATTTACCATAACAAAGCCTTTATGGGGACCTAAACATCAAGAGCAACAACATTTCCCTCTTGATTTGCAGGTGTGTTTCATCAACTACAACAGGCAAAACTCTCTCAGTATTCCAGGAGAAGATTAGTAGAAAGAAAATGATGAAATATTTGTATTTATAAACGCATGACCTGGTCTGCAAAATGATCCCTCACTGCAAACAGGATTCTAAAAGAAACCTCTTTTTGTAATAAAAAGGTTTCAAGGTGGAGTATGAATCATGCCATTTATGCTTCGCAAACACAGAAAATGATGGGCTTTAGTGTACAGGTGGTCATTTACATTTTCCCAATGTCCTGGACTTTTAAGCACATGGACCAGGAAGGGCAGAATGGTTATCATTTAACAAGGTTTTTTTTGGAAAAAAAGTTATGGGGTGGGTAATTATAAAGCTTGTTCAGTTCTGAAAATAAATAAATAAATAGTTTGGCTTTTTTAATATATTGCCAGATATAACTTTAAGGGCTTATTTAATTCAACATTGAGGTCATTAATGCATAGATTTCTGACACACAGCAACAAAATCATTTTACTTAGCTGGAATGCAAGGCAACAAAAAGTCATATTTGTCATGCCATGATTCAAAGATATTTAATCCAGGAATAAATTTACTATATCCTTACTGCCTTCAAGAAATTAATTTCATGAACATTAAGGAACAGTACAATAGCTCTCTATTCGTTCAATTTATTTCCTAACTTTTATTCAAAAAATATGCCAAGATGGACAACAATACAAATACAAAAAAGACAAATACAAAGCATCAGTAGTTATTCATGTTTTTTTAAAAAAAACATTTTTACATTAATATTTTAAAAAAAATCCAGCTGAACTTTAAAATGTATCCACTTGAAAACAAAATCCACAAGTATGCCATATTAATTGCACCTACTAGAATTCAGGAAGAATGCCCAGGCTATATTCCATTCATTATAGCTTATTTAAGCCTCGTATTAAAATGTAAATAGTGCCAAGGCAACACATATACACTCCTCAGGAAAATAAACACAGTCTACAACAATTTGTTCTTCTAACTTTCAGTCCTAGGTATTCTAAATACTCTCCATTACTGAACTGGGGTCCCTATGAAGAGGTAAGTGAGAAAAAGACACCTATGAGAAACAGAGCAATTAGATAAAATTTCCCCATGCCTAGAGACCTAAAGAGCATAAATATACTCTGTAGTATCCCTGCGCACAAAGAAAAAACTATATTGCTCTCAAATGTAAAGAAAAAGCATTTCTTCCTTTAGGGGAAATGGTATTTATTTTCACAAGAGAAAGAAGTACAGTCAAGTTGTTACATCCATGCCAGTCTTCCACTAATCCTTAAAACTCTATGAGTTGGAGCTATATTGTCAGAATCATCCATTTACTTAAATATAAAAAAGTTATTGCCTATACAGATAGTCCTTGACTTATAACCACAATTGGGACCACTTGCTTTTTTGCCATGGTTGTTAAGTGAATCACATAGTCTTTAAGCAAATCCAGCTTCCCCCACTGACTTAATTTGCCTGATGCCAGCTGGAAAGGTCACAAAAAGTGATCTCATGTCCCTGGGATGCTGCAACCATTGTAAATACAAGCTGGTTGCCAAATACCTGAATTCTGATCATGTAACAATGGGGATGATGTGACAGTTGTAGGTGTGAGGACCGTTCATAACTTTTTCAGTGCCATTTTATTTGAATAGTTGCTAAATGAATCATTGCATATGAAGGACTACCATACAGTAAACCATTGATGTAATGGACTAATCTACTAAATTGTAAATGGGGTTTTACTCCTGTGGAAAATGTATAAAATAATATAATGTTAAATATAAGAGTCCATCTGGATACACAAGCAAAACTGACTACATCGTGTCAAGTGATAAAACCACATTCTCCAATTGTACTGTCATCAATCGTTTTAACGTGGGAAGAGGATAATTTTCTGTGCACAGCTTTCATTGACTATGAAAAGGCGTTTGGACTCAGTATTCCAGCAAGCAATAATTAAGGCATTGCTCAACCAAGCCGTAGACACTACTTACATAAACTTACTACAACCAATATATGAAAAAACAATGGCTTTAACAATTTGCTTTAATGATCTTAAGGTAGAAATCAACATAGGTCGAGGTGTATGTCAAGGTGATACAACATCACCTATCCTTTTCTCAGCCTGCCTTGAAGAAGTATTTTGCAACCTAGACTGGTCAAAAGATGGAATAAAAATCAGAGCCTATTTAAATCACTTAAGATTTGCAACTGGTGTTGTTCTCTTCTCACAAGACCCAGAAGAGCTACAAAGACACATACAAGAGTTGCACAAAGCAGGAGAACCATTTGGCTTAAAAATAAACCTGAAAAGGAGCCAGTTTTATGTTTAATAAATTTACCAAAGAAAGAATTTTTTTTTATATCTGGAGAAGACCTAGACATAGTAGACCACTACATATACCTTGGCCAGCGGATCTCAATGGGAGGTGATATAATAAAGGAAATTGAACAGTGTGTAAAATGTGCTTGGCAGGCATTCAGCATGCTAAGCATAATTTTCAAGAACAGCCTCTCCTTATGCCTGAAAAGTTTTCAGTCAGTGTAGGCCAGTGATGGCGAACCTTTTAGAGACCGAGTGCCCAAACTGCAACCCAAAACCCACTTATGCATCCTCAAGTGCCGGGTGGGTGTGTCCCATTGGGTGGGTGTGTCCCATTGGGTGGGCATGGCCAATTGGGTGGGTGTGTCCCATTGGGTGGGCGTGGCTGCGGTGGTAACGGCAGACTGGGTGGGACTAAAAAGTTCAATCAATCAATTCCAACTTTGCAAGAACTTTTTTTTCCCCTGCGAGAAGTTGAAATTGACTGATTGAACCTTTTTTTTTTTTTTTTTTGCACATGACGGCGGAGGCCTAAAGTGAAAAGATTTTATAAAACCCAGTTGAAGGTCTAGGACTGGGGCGATGGCGCGCGTGCCCACAGAAAGGGCTATGAGTGCCGCCTCTGGCACCCGTGCCATAGCTTCGCCACCACTGGTGTAGCCTACTTGTTCTAACATATGCCAGTGAAACATGGACACTAACCTCACAATAGATACAAGTGATGCAAAGAGCCATGGAAAGATATATGCTCGGCATTATAGGACAAGATAGAAAGACCTGCACGTGGATTAGAGAACAAACTAAAAGATGCGGTATCATCAAGAGAGTAAAAGAATTGAAATGGAAATGGGCCGGTCACACAGCAAGAAGAACGGATGGCAGGTGGACCAAGGCAGTCATTGAATGGATTCCACTTGATAAAAAGCATCCATGAAAGAGACCAAAAACAAAATGGATCAGCGAGATCAGCAAGTACTGCAGGCTCAATTGGCAAATAAAATAGCTCAGGACCATACGGGTTGGAAACATGCAGAAGAGGCCTTCATGCTGCACTGGATAGACAATCGCTAAAATGATGATAATGATACTGTATGTAACATGTCTAGAGATTTTTTTGGGATTGATTTGCCAAAATCTGTTGGCTGAGGCAAAGTCCAAGCTCAGATTTTATCTATTACAGCCAATGTCTGCTGAATTGAGATACCCAAAATCTAGGGGCTTTCTGTATTTCAATTTTTTCCTCCCATCCCCCAATTGCTTTAAAGGTTAGCTAGAAATTCTGCAACCCTAAATGTATCTCCTTGCATGCCTCCAAACCTGTTCTATTATCTCTCTCCATATTGTTATAAAACAAAAAATTATTCATTTGGGAAATTTTTATGGATTAATTTTTTAAAGTCGTACACTGACGCAATGTTAACATTTCGTTGGAGAGCAATTTACTTGTTACACTACACTTAACAACAGTAATTTCTTTTGCTAATGTAGAAATAGTGTTTTCTATCTCTGGAGTAATTCATTAAAAACTGAGATAAATTTTGGAAAGCTTGTTTTCTTTTTTAAACTCTAAATGAAGAGGAATATCCAAATTAAATGTAAATATATCACCCAGCTAATGATGTGTTTTGTGCTGACTTGACTGAAATTTCTTTTCTGTTAAATTATTGTTTATAAATAAGAAAGTTATTTCAAAAAATAATCATTCTGTTGAAAAACTAGCAAAAATAAGCAAGATTATTAACACTAATTTAAAAGCTGGAGATGTTGTAATATATCATTACGTATAAATACCCTCCAAACAATTCAAAAAATTAGATTGGACAGAATTTGATCTGATTTAATTCAATGCAAAGGATTTCACAAATATGTATCTGCTTGCTATGTATGTATATATAGCTATGATGCTACGTATACCATCCAAATGAAATTTACATTAACAAGTAGTAAAATATATGAATTCAAGTTGTATCAAAGAAAAATGCATTTTATAAACCTTTGATTCCAGAATCTTCCCACCTAATGAATAAATTAGGATTCCAGTGAATAAATTGTGTCTTCATGACTGGTGATTTAAATCTTTTTTTTTTTTCTCAAATCAAATCCTGCTTGTTTCTTTATTCTAGCAGTCAGGGACAGTTAGTTGCAACCTACTGCAAATAAATCCTGAAGCTATTACAGGATTTAACACAGAAATCTGTGACGCGACCTCTATTTCATGTTAAAACTGGGGCCATATGCTTATTCCATGTGGTTCAACGTCAGCTATTCCTTCTTTTCAGTCTTCATTTTTGCTCTGATCTTTATTTGCCTATTGTGAGTTTTGGAGAATGTGAACATTTGCATATTTTAAGAACATCTGAGTTTGTCTAATATAGATATTTTGTTTTACTTGTTTTACATTAATATGCTGCCTGGAGTTCTAGGCCATGTATATGGGGTGGGAAGAGGATAATTTTCATTTTATCCCCAATATTGAATGAAGTGAAATCCAGTATGGTGTAATGGTTTGTGTGCTGGACTATTACAGGTGCAAGATCCCAGGTTCTAATCCCCCAATAAATATAAAAGCTGCCTGCCTGACTCAGAAAGTGCTATTTTCTCCCAGACCTAGACAAGGAAGTATAAAAAAAAACTATCTTTCTCCCAATCCAAACTGGACCTCCAGTGGACTGATATGTGTCGACATCAATAATAACAATAAGATAAATTAAACTCGAAGAATATTGCAGAGTGAATGGCATTTGATCCACATCATTGTTATTCTGTAGTGATTCTCATACTTGAATTAATTTGAAAGATTTTAAGAAGATTGTACCCACATGCAGAGGTTACACATTCTCTATTAAATTACAAATAATAAATCTTCACCACTGTAGTTATATTATCGAAAAAATACCTATTTATACAACAAGTACATAAATACATACAACTAAAAAGAACATGCTACTACAATTTGATACATACTGATGGAATAGTTTAAGTTCAAAAGAAACTAGTGCCTTTTTTCCGGGGCAGTAAAACCCAATGATAATCTGACAATGATTAATGTGGCAATCCTGTTTTCAAAAAAAACAAAAACCAATCCTACACTCCAAAATATAAACCCTTGAAATAGAACATTTTCTTACTTACATATTCAGGTTTTAATTTCTTGTCACCTCCTCGTACAGCCACTTTTTCTAATTTGTCTATAATGGGCATGATCATTTCCTCATCTTTTAGTCTAAGTTCTTCATGTATTATTTCAATGTCACGAACTGGCTCCACGCTTCCTTCAATGTGCGTGATATCATCATCATCAAACGATCCTTTGTGGAAGCAAAAGTGGGTTATTAAGCAATATTCTTAGCTAACAAAAATGCGCTCAAAGTACCCTAAAATGTCACAAACATAGTAGACACAAATAGTCGCACAAAACAAACCCAGGACAGGGGTAAAAATTAGACACAACACAACCCAGTAGTCATGGCTGTGAGGGCAGAACACAACAATATTTTAAATTTTCCAGGGTTCTTTTTTTTTTTTTTGAGTCAGAATCAATATCATCTCATAATCTCTTAGAGCTGGTTGAGAAAAATTGTCTTTATATATCATTTAATAAACACAGAGGCTTAGAATAAAGTAAACACTGAAACTGTCAGGAAGTTCCGTCAAAGAATGGTGAAGTTCTCTAGTATAGTAATGGGTTTCCAAGGGAAACAGAATTTACGAAAAGAAAGGGGGGGCAAGGGCCTTAAATCATCTGGCAGACCTCTTCTCTGCTTCCAACTACTTTATCACTATGGTTCTGACGGTGATTAGATAATGAACCACTCAGACACACAATTTACACAGCAGCTAATTTCATCGGTCTGATTTGAGGGTATGGTTTTTAGGGGGCCATCAAAGAAGCAGATGAAGGTGCATTTGTCATATATGAGTGACAACCATTCACACTATCTCAACAAAATGGTGCTGGCCCTTATTAGAAACACATGCTATTATCACATATTTAAAGTGCAGCTGAAGCCATAATTTCAAATTGCCAACTGGAAACATAAGGGTAAAACAACCAGATATTACTGAAGCATGTGTACTGACTTTATGCCCTTCTGAAGACATAATGTGGCAACATAATTCAACTGGGATACTCTTGAGTTATCAATAAAGAATCGCATGAAAACAAAAATTAAACATTTATTAATAGCAAACTATAATTTAAATTGTAGGTTTATTCATGAATAATTCATGATGAAAATTTTTTGACACCATGTAATAGCAGAATCAACCCACTAACTTCAGGCACAATGCTTTAAACACAATTTAGCATGGTTACAACATTTTTAGTGTTGCCAATTATAATAACCTCCTGATTAAAAAAAAAATCTTATGACCCAATTCTTTTTTCTAATTGAATTTAGATAGTGAAATTTAACCCTGTATTCTGAAACACCTAGGCTACATGAAAAACAAAACCTCCCGTGTATTTCTGAAAAGATGTCAGCCACACATCAGACCAATTCATGTCACCTTCTCCTTGTGCGAGGAATATCATCGTGTCTTCATTTTGAAAACTGTGCATGGTAAAACTAATCTTTTCCCTTCTAATTATACGACTGAAAAATACAGGCAGCAGCTTGTCATCTGGTATTTTTTCCCCAAAAAATACATTGTGAGGTACAATTTTTTCCTGACATTGCTCAGCTCAGTTCAAGTGGCCACATATGCCTTCGCGGGTCAATACTAATCCTTTGAAGTGTTTATTTTTTTTAAAAAAAGAAAAATGAAAACATGTGAAGATCTTTTAATGCTTACAACCAGCACTGGTTAATCTGACCAATTTATTCTGCAGTAACAGCATTTTCAAAATATCTAAAAAGAAACTCATCAGGTAAAATAATATCAGATGATGATGATGATGATGATGATGATGATGATGATGATGGATGATGATGATGATGATGATGATTTGAATTCCCCACCTTGATCCTACTTTACAGGAATCATTTCCTTCCTTCCCAAGCTCTAGCTTGTATTTTCGTTACCCCTTGACCATAATATTAAAAGGAAGTATTTAGGTGTTTTCTTGTCACTTTAGCATCTCATTTATTCGTCCTACGACTGATTTTTTTTTTTGTCTCTGTGCTTTCATCTCTTAAATATTTGAGAATTTTTTAGACACACGTTTTATTCCAGCTTTGTATGGATTTACATTTAACATTTTAATCATTCAAAGAACTGTTGGGATTTTGCCAAAATTGAGGAAGTGCTTTTACTTTACAGTCCAGTTTTCAGCGGGGCTTACCCCAATGGAAGTAAGGTCAGAACTTTAAAAGAATTCCAAAGAAAAATAAAGAGCTGCCAAAAAATTAAGCAAAGACTGATTACAGAAAATTAATTAATGCATTTAATTTATTAAATTAACAAAGTTGCTCTTTGATATTTATTCAATCTTAATTTAGGAAGATTAGTTACATAACTTGTCTTTTAGAAGTAAACTTTAACTACAGAATTTAGTAGACTCCACTTGATCAAATTGTTTGAAATATGTTTTATAAACATAACTATAATTATCATTTATCCCCTAGATTAGAAAAGGCTTTTCTTTCTTAAATTCAATTAAAATCTGCTTTTTTCTAATCCAAACCATTACTTCACATCCTCTATCACTCTGAACTAATAAAGAAAAACTTTAGACCTTCTTTTATGTAATAACTTTTAAGATACTTAAAGAGATCATTTATATCCTCATTCCTCTTCTTTCTCATCCCTTTTGTCTTTTCAGGTATAAACATTCCCAAACCTTTCAAGCTTTTTTTGTAAGCCAATTTCTAGTGTCAATTCCTTTTCTTCACTAAACCTATTCCAGGTTGTGTGAATGCTACTTAAGCAAACACAATGTCAAAATACACATTCAACATACTTAGCTACAAACTGGTATTAACTGTTATTTAAAATTAGATTTTAAACTGAATCAATCAGAATATGCGCAGAGTAACTAATGGTAGCGACTGGATTGAAAATTACAATCTTTCTGGGGAAAAAACACAAAGATTTATTTTAAACATAAAATTTCACTATTCACATATAAAAAGTGGAAATGAATCTACCATCATCTTGAAAAAATAATCACTATGATTTTAGCTTTCCATGCACCCAGAAGTACAATTCCAGTTACTGATCAAATAGAAATTGTATTTGCAACATCTAGCTGCCCACGCTGCTTTCTATCTATACGGAGTTGGATACAATGTTCTTCGCAGTATCACGTAATAACATGGCACTATAGTTTTGTTTTTTTTTCAATATAAAATTTTTATTATTTTTCATCATAAAAAAAAACATCACAAATGTTACACAATGCTATAGAAAAAAAACCCCCACCCCCCCGAACTTCCCAAACCTAATCCCAGGATAATATTCAGATATAAGTAAACAAATATTAATATCTCTAACTCCACAAAGTATATTATTCTACATAAGTAGGTAAAATATATAAAAGAAAAAAAGAACAAATTTATTAAGAACCTAAATTATATTCCACCACTCTATGCTTCTTTTGAATATAAGCAATCCATCTTCTCCATATTANAAATACTTATCAAGTATAATGTCAAGAAATTACCAGCCTTCATCCATTATTAAATCAGACAGAAATTCTCTATTTCAAAATAATTATCATATTTAAAATAACAATGTAATTCCAAAAAACACATATCTATTTTTAAAAACATGTTCTATCATTTCATTACTTACGTCTATAAAGTCTTTTTAACCCCTAAACAAGTTTATTCCCTAATAATTATCAACTATGATAACAATCAATTCTCATCCTTCTTTCGTTATTAAATCAGACAAAATCTCTAAAGCCTTTTTAACCCATCAAGTAGCGTTTTATCTCACATTTAAACCTGACTCTAGCTTTCTTTCTATGCCAAGTTAATTTCCATACTAAAACTTTTCGATTATCAAACCTCAAGCTTTGATTACAAAAGTTTCTAAGCAATTCAAACTGAGCAAAATTTCCTTCTCTCATCTGGGTATTGTATTGACTTTTATTCCATGTTATAATTATAAATAAGTTATCCGCTTTGTTGTGGTTTCCAAAAAATTGTATCTGAGTGACAATCTTTATTATTTTTAATATTTGAACTAAGCCAGTTACAGTTAGTTCTTGATCATCCAAGTTATCCATCCGTTGTAGGTAACGTTGTATAGAATTAGTTGGCTCAGTTGTTATCACCTTTTCTCCCAGCATAGATTCATCATTAAGTTGTAAGCATAATATCTCTGTCTCTTTAGAACGTATGTCTCGATATGTGAAAGCCTGTTCAGAATTGCTCTGTTGTTCCTCTAGTGTTCCTTGTTCCATGGCTTGATTCATTATTGAAGGATGAGTTGGAAATGCCAAGATAGCATCTTTAGATTGTCTCCTAAATTTCCAATAAATTTTAAAGTCTTCATTTTCCAGACTCTCCTCTGCAATTTCAAGTCTGTAGTCACTTGCTTCTGCTCTTTGTTCGTTTTCCTCCACCCTTTCTGCCATCGCATCTACATATTCAACCAGACCTTGAAAAACAGTTGTCACATTCAAACAAACGCCCTCATGTTTCTGTAATAAGTCTTGTTGTTGTTGTAATAAGTCCTGTTGTTGTTGTATTACTTGGTCAAATCCATTTTGCATTTTAACATCCATCGCTTGAAACATCTCAATCATTTGTTTAATAGTTACAGACATCAAGTCCTGCAACCTACCAGATGGCGGTGGAGGTGGAGAAGATGACGGGGGTGGCTGGTGGGAGATTTTAGAAGTTGATTGAGATAGCTGGAACATCGGGGATGTAGTTGATTTTAAAGTTGAAGGCACGGTTTTTCTCAAAGCCATGTTAACAGTAAATTTCCAATTATAAAAGAGTCTTATAAGCAATTCAGCCAGAGCAAATAATACGCAGATTAAAAGTAACAAAAGTTCCAGACCGGAAATCACTTTCACTTCTTGCTGAAAAGTATCAATCCATCGCCATTTTAAGTTCACTTTCCCTCAATCCACCTCAAGTATACAGAAGAACTTATTATCCAAGTTAGAGCAAAGTTCAAGATAAAAAGCAAACTTCCAGGGTCGGTTCGTCTGCTTACAAAAAAAACTCACAGTTCACTTTAAGTTGCA